AATCAGAACCAAGATTTTGCGTACGAACGCAAAACTCGAGTGGAACCATACACTACGTTCTACTACGTTCCTGGTACTTCTTCATCCAGTTTTGTGTAGACTTTTCCATATTGTAAACTGCAGCTTTTTTCCTGTAAAAATCCAGTTTTTGTTCTATTTCAGACCTTGGTGTACTGGTATCAGAATTTAACACAGAGCTTGTACTTTCTTCAGAAATACTTTCAGGAGTATAAGTGCGTGCACTAGTAAAAATAGGAACTACTGTGTTATGAAAGTCTTTCTTTTTTTGACGTCGGTTTGGCATTTTTAAGAAAGAAAAGTCAAAAGAGAAAATATCAGTGGGAAAATCACTGACGTTAGGATCCAGGGGATAAAACAGATATTTAATGTCAGCCTCGATATCATGCGTCATCACGGGGCGGTCATCATGCGTCAGTGCGGCTGCGCCGCACTGACGCATGATAAATGACCGCCCCGTGATTATGCATGATATCGAGGCTGACATTAAATATCTATTACATATACTATATAATACTTAGATAAGTAAATTATTCTTGCGCAAAATTCATATTAAACACTTTCTTATGGATTTTATGAAAATACATGACAAAAGCAGTACTCTACTTTATTACATAATACTACAACTCTAATTTACATGAATATATATATATATGTTAAAATACAAAAAAATAAATTTCCTTAATATAAAAAACTAAACAAAAACAAAATGCTTAATTGGAAAAAGGTTAATCATTAAGAATTACATTGTTATTTTGTGGAAATCGTACCATATAGGAGCGTAATAACGCACATAGCGTTATTTCAAAATTCCATTTTTTGTTTAAAAATCGCATATTTAACGCCTATACACGTCCCGAAATAATGCGCCAGCCTACATAGTCTCAGGAAGGTTTTTAGCAATTATGGCTTTTTTCTTCAAAATTGAGTTAATGATTCGAATTATCGCGCATGTGCACTCCGAAATAACACTCATCATTACGTGCTTATACGGTATGCGAATAGAATTTTTCTAAAAATGCTCTTTATGGAAATGAAATCTTATACGTTTAGTACTTGCAAAATCGCAATCTTTTTTTAAACTTTTAGCCAACGCAGGAGGACCACAGTAATATACACCCACGTTAATATTCAAATCTCCTTCTCTGCTCGGCAAATAATAACCACTCGCAATCGCTCGATTCAGTTGTCTAAATATATAACCAAAATTTGGTCTACCGTAATGTATTATGCTTTCTAAATCCGTCAATGAATCATATGAATCAGATATATCATTAATTATTATATTATTTATAATGGATTCTCTAAGTTTTGATGTCAGATAAATGTGTAATTTTAGGAAACCAGCTTCCATTGTGGTAGCTTCTAAAGTTTTCAGTAAGGATTGAAACCATTCAAATGAGCCAGTTTCACGACATATCCAAAAGAATTCTACCCTTTTTAATTTCAATAGACGTTTGTTTTGTTGTTGATGGCTAATATTATGAATTAAAAAATAACAAATATTATATATATAGGTATATTAGGTATATTGGGTATATTAAATAATCACCAAAATAAAGTTTTACATACCAAATATTTTTGAGGATAGAGACAAAAGGAGTAGCACCTATACCACAACCTATCAAAACAGCAATCTTATTTTTAAATACATCCTCAGAAAGAGCACCATAAGGGCCGTCAATGCGAAGAGTTGGTAGAACAGTAGGTACAGCTATTTCAGTATCAAAATTAGAATTACATCCAAGCAATTCACCAAGCTTATTAGTGAAATCACCAACTAAACGAACATGAATGGAAACATAAGGGTCATCTGGTGCCGAGGTGATTGTGAACGGATGCCATTGCCAAGTTGATATAGCAGGGACATTTAAGAACAAGTACTGGCCGGCCTTATAACGGAAAGAAGGCTTATCAAATTGAATTTCAATTGCTTTCGAAGGATGATCAATAACTTTTGTGATTTGAGTTGGATGACGAGAACGGATTTCACGTAGGACACGTTCAAAAAAGTACAAAATACCACCAACTATGGTGTATCGTCGAGAAAAATAACCTTTACATTCACCTTGAGCGGTTTTTACAAAACAACCATGGTCATGAAAATATAAACAGAACATAAAGAAGAAAGCAAGATGATGAGTGTACCAAAAAGTTTCAAAAGATTGATGACGCATCTTATGATGAGAAGAGGTATAAATTAAAACCATAATAAGTAACATAAAATGGCCCGTAAGGCCAGCCCAAGTAGTGTAATGAAGTTTCCAGGCTTGGAACTTGCCAAGCTGCTCCAACTTCCAAAAGTTAACATAATGAGCAAAAGTATGTACTAGGGTCCAAAAGAGCATAGCATAAGCGGTTTGACGATGAAACCAAAGATTTTCATCAAATGGAATAAGGTTATTTAAAAAACTTATAGCACGCAAATCTTTTATAAGATTTCTGAGAACAGGTAAGAGGATTAGAGCGCCATCATAAGCAAGGCACAAACCAGCACCACGAGAAGTCCATAAAGAGAAACCGATGACATTAAGGTTATCCAAAGATCTGTCATCCTTTTGTTTAAAGAAACCAAAGATGAATAAAAAAATATGAGTCCCAAGCCAAAAAATCCAAAATGTAAGACGTTTAAGCGTGAATTCTTTTGACAACCTTAGCGAGAAAGATTCAGCCATTTTCCGAAAATGGCGAATAAAAAATTTTTACAATGAGACTAAAGTAGCGAGAGGTAAAGAAAGAAGGAGGAAAGTTCGAAAGAATTATAAAAGTATCGAGGCTAAATCGAAAAACACAAAGTATAAAGACGACTTAGGTAGTGCTTGGCACAATCAACCAAAAATTTGATAGTCAAATACTTGTGATTAAGTCGGACAGATCAACCAATACTATATTTAGTTTTTGGTTAATCTGATCAAAAGTATTTAATTACAGTATCAAATTTATTGTTTGATTGTGTCAAGCACTAGACTTAGGTGATACTACAGGAGAAAAGTAGTATCTACAGTATTATATTTAAAGAACTTGGAGGTATCCAGCTCCAAGCTGGACTTCTGAATGAATCAGTAATATTTATTTTAAAAAATGCAAGAATTGGTACTTTTTTTAAAAAAAGATGTTAATAAATTTACGACGATACCAGGAACGAAGTATGGTTATTAAGGCAAGTTAAGTGATGTGCGTCCACAAAATCTCAACTAATTAGACAATGCATTAAATGCAATAATAACGTGAATTTCTGCACTTAAACATCACGATATGCATCACCTAGTACCATATTTATATATTTTATGAAATTATTATATAATTATTATTATTAACTAAAAGAAGATAAGTTAGTTATCCTTTCTATTACATAAAGCGATCCTTTATATATGTCATAGTTAGAATAACCGATTACCAAGAATGAGGTAAGAAGAACGACTATTTACAAGAAATGTGGTAATGGGAATTCATTACGCAGGAATATAGCTGGAAATGTAGTACGTAATAATTCGATAATGATAATATAGCAATGATCTGCTAATTATGAAGTAATAGGGCGATGCTAATTATACATATGAAACATTTTCGTTTTTTGTCCCAATTAAAATGCACGACGATCATTTATTAAAAGGAGATTTTTATTGCCTTTCAGAATTGTATTAACTAATTAAGAATAAGTATCAATTTGTGGATGAATCTAACAGGCTGAAATCAGTTCACATGACTCTTTGTCACATAATATCAAACAATAGATATTACCAGATTACTTATAAAGTTAAACTGAGATCAAGCTGGATATCCGGTTTTATCTATACAGGAGGGAATAATGTGCCGAGTAATGCTAACTGTGCATCTCAAATAACTCATTCGTGATTGAGACTTTCTTAATCGGTTTTTTTGTTTATTAATTTACACTAACGCTATCATGGCAAAATTTTTCAAAGCTATAATTTAGTGTGAGGGACATTTTTATTTGCATATACAAAAATCATTTGTGTTGCAAAATAAATTTAGTGTTGCCGAAATGAATTTTGCCCCAAAAAAATTATAATTTGTAACATGTACTATCAATGTTTAATATCGTGTTAATATTTTTATTTAATTATCGTTATGGAAAATACCATATAGATAATAGAAGAGACCAGGACATATACATGGGTGCCTAAATTGCCCATCTTAATAAAAAAGTAATTACGGCATTTAGGCAGCCGAAATTATTCTTATATAGTGCCGAAATTAATTTTCATATCTGCCGAAATTATTGCCGAAATTTTTTGAACACCTTTCATCAAAATACATCATATAATATAGTTATTTCGAAGGGTTTCATATAAAAAATTTAGCAATGCCGAAATGTTTGCCGAAAATACAATTTTTCAAAAATAATTTAGGCACCCATGTATACCAGGACATCGATCGTATTACAACTCTGAAGCTATATTCATTATCTTAAAATCTTGAATTTTTGCTTTCTGGTTTTTTACTCTGCAGCATTTAATTTATTAGTCAAAGTCTTTAAGATAATTTTCTTAATCAATTTCTTTTCATTAGATAAGTATAATAGGAGTTTCGAAGTTAACATATTTCGAAAATAAGTAAGTATAAAAAATCCATTTATTTCTTCGAAATTCTAAAATTAGAAAACTAAATAGAGCATAAAAATATGAAATTTAGATTTAAAGATCGTTCAATTTGATCAGATGAAGATCTTTAATTTTGAAACCCTACAATATAGCAATTATCAAGTGAACATCAAGCAAGATATTAATTAATTTCTCGGATTTTCTTTAGTATAGGTGGGTGGGCATATAGAATATAAAAACCAACTATTTGAGCTAATTTAAACTTTAATTCTTACCCGTCCTAACTATTTATAAATTTGCTTAAATTAGTTCAATATAGCTAATTTTTATATATTATTATTTTACAATAGTTATATATGCCACATATACTATAGAAGAATTTTAATTATACTATCTTACTACAACTACTTTATTTTTATTTTATAAAAAGCCAAGTGAGACTAGTTTAACTACATACAATATTTGTAAAAGCTACAAGTTAAATTTTTTTATATTTTTATTCTTTTTTAATACTTATATTTTAGAGATTTTCTATTTTTAAGTTTGGCTAAATTTTAAATATTATTAATTGGTAAATCATGAGTCACTGATACAAAATGATCGACAATTATTAATTAAAATTGGCGCAAATTTTATAAATCGCGGTTAACACTTCTAAATGTCAAAAACTAACTCTTCTAAATTTTTAAAATGGCAAAACCGCAACAATATACAGTAACTTTGCTTGAACCAGGTTCAATTGTATTAAATTTGCATTATGGAATATATGCACGGAATTGGTGGGCTCCTAGGATAGGTGAAAGTGATAATACTAGAGCAGTACCTTATTGGCTTTATATGCGTGTAGCTTGCATATTGAATAATAATCAATTTATTATTGAAGTTGTTAAACAAGAACAAAATTTGTTACAACCCAGTTTTATTTGTACATATAATAATCAGACTACAAAAATTACAAATACACCTTCAGAAGCTATAAATACACTTTATCGTCAAATTTATAATGAAAATACACAATATTCAGGACTAGCAATTATAGGATTTAATAATCCTTGGATTGTTCAAAAGCTTTTAGAAGGAATCGAATTTATATCTCATTTTATTAAAGTTGATTCTTTTTTAATCGTCATATCAAATATAGGAATAAATGCATTAAATAATTTTAAAACTAACTTTACCTCATCGCTTTTAACTAAACTTGAAAGCAATAGATGTTTTGTATTACAACAGCTTACTGAACATGGTGCTTCTTTGGATTTTTATACTAAAGATCAACTAAAAAAACATTTTGAAGATGAAATACCCACAATGGTCTGGAAAAAAACTAGAATTCTAAAAAAATATAATGGAAACATGCTTTTTGGATTAGAAAATACAATGATCCAACAAGCAATGCAAAATAAATCCATTTTTGATAATATTACCTGTTCACCTGATAATTGGTTAGATCTATCAATTCTTAAACGTATTTATAATCAACATATTTGTTCTAGAAAAATTTCACAAAGTAATATATTAGAATGGCACAAATTTTTTTTAAAATGGAATAAGTCAACTAACTCAATAATGCAATTTGAAAAAATAATAAATGAAATATATCCATCTAATTATCTTGTATCTGATAAAGAAAAATGTGCTTGGTGAGCTATGCTAAAAGCATGTGGATGTACCAATATAACTCCTTATTCAAAAAAAGAATCGGAAATCGAATTTTGGAGCAAATCAAATAATCCACAAATAGATATAGAAAATATAAAACAGTTATATACAAATAGGTTGTTTAATCTTCATAAAGATAATAAATTAGTTTTAATAAATACAGACCAAGAAGAAGTTTTCTGGAATTGCTTTTGTAAAACATGGAATACAAACAAATGAGGTTCAAAAAATAGAATTCGACTCTTATCTATAATCGCAGAAAAATTTTCTTATTTAGTATTACGACAAAATTTCTTGGTATTAAATTATTATACTAGAATTTTTAATTTTTAAATTTACTTACTTTTTTCATTTTTTTTTTTTTTAGATTAGTCCAAATACTATCAATATTGTATGAAAACATGCAAGACTATATGGACCTGGAGCACCTCCAATTGACCCACCAAAAAGAAAACTGGTACGAATGTCTGAGATTAAAGAAAAACAATTTCTTAACTTTTTTCAAGATTAGGATAATATTAGCCAAAGCTTATATCAAACAGACCCTAAAAGCGGCTTACCAATTTTGTATTTACAAGATCAAAAAACTGCACTATGGACCAAATTTGAAAATACATACCCTAATGGAATGCGTAAAACTTCATTTATAGCACATTTAGCAAATACAACACAATTTCGATATTGTAATGATCTTGAAGAACTTTGTCAAACATGTAATGACTATGGTTATGACACATTTGATAATTTAATTGCACTTATTAGAAATGCAATAGGGAATAAAAATAAGTTGGTAAGTAAATATTTGATCAATTTGAATAAATATATAAAATTACTATATAATATACTTATAATATGTAGAATTCATAGATAACACGTATTGAAAATTTAAAATGTCATATGAGAAGAAATTTTGAAAAAGAACTACTTATTAACTCTAATGGACAAACTTCTCATATTGAATGCATTAACCATTGTCTCTTTTATGTTTTTGGAGATTGTAATCATACACATACATTACGTTATAACAACTGTAATAAATTTTTTCTTTGTTTTAATGACCTTAAAAAAAAGCTTTCAAATGAATATTATAATCAGCTAAATAAAGCAAATGAAAAACTTATAAATTGGCTAGCTCATCATGCACGTAAAGTATATTTTAATGCACAATTTAAGTCAGCATTATCACAACTTGATTCTGGTGGAGCAGTTATAATTGCTGATTATAAAATGCATGTGCTGCCTCAATCTGCTAGGGAAACAAAACAAGAATTCTTTGGAAAAAGAGGATGGATGCTTCATACAATTCTTGTATATGCACTGGATAAAAAAATTAATGAATTAGAGATAAGTGTATTTGACCATTGGTCTACTGATACAAAGCAAGATGCGTGGTTCACAGCATCTTCCTTTGAAGCAGTGTTTTCTATACTTTCTAAAAAGCCAAAATGGATAAAAATTATTTCTGATAATAGTGCACATTATCACAATAGTAAGCTGATGACTATCATTTCTTATTGGAATGTTTGGTATGATATAGAGGTCAGAAGTTGGCTTTTTTTGGAACCAGGAGAGGCAAAAACCACAATTTACTCTCACTATGCATCAGTAAGTATCTAAAAAGATATTATGCTAATATTCTCTAATATTTTTTTTTTTTTTTTTTTTTTTTTTTTTTGCACGTAACCCACGCCATTAGTACGATTTTCGTTGTTCGCCGACGGCGAGGTGGGGGGGAAAGAATTGGCGGGGCGCGGCAAAATATTGCTGGAACTTGCCTTGCCAATTTGGAACCAAACAGAGATCAAGAAGTAAGTAATTTATCTGACAAGATAGATGAAGAAAATAATAATAAAAAACATACACCACCTGCAAAAAAAATGAGTAACAAAAAAGCCAAAGTCAAAATGATCCCTGGAATATCAAAATATTATTTACGGCAGTGGCCTATTAAAGGTCCAACTGCCGGATATATTTTGGCACAACAATGCCTTTCATTGGTAAACCTGTACAATTTTCCTCATCTGCTATTGATCTTCTATGCCGTGAAGAAATAGTTTGACCCGATCCAAAGACTTCAGATCACACAACACCAACTTCCAAATGGACAATTCCAATTCCAAGTTTACTGCCATTAGGTAAGTGAATCGTAACTCTAAATTACATTACTTTGTATACCAATTCATAACAATATGACTTATTTATTAAATAGAAGATAATGATGTTGATATGCTAGGTATGATAGAACTAAGATAACTTCCAAAGTGCTAATTATATAACATGATAAGTATCAAAATCAGAACTTGGTTTTTGTTACTTATCATGTGACTAGCACTTTAGATAGCCATTCCAAATAGTTTATTTGCATAAAACAAAATTCAAATTGACAAGTTACATATTATTCAGATGCTATTGACCTAGGGAGTACCGACTTAAGTGAAGAATATATAGCTGAAAATAAAGACAAAGGTCTGTTAATTTTGAAAGTTTGGTTTTGTTTCAAAAAATACAACTTTATTATATATAAGTTTCAAATAGATCATGAGTCCTTGCCTAATAAATGGTTCGTTGATAATACATATCCTTTAAAAAAAGGGTGGGCTCTGAAAGAGAACCAGGCTTATGGCGTATGAGGTGGTGGTAAAAGAATGTCAGAGAATGTGAAAGAATTATTAGAATGCTTGTTTTTAAATGGTAATCTTAAAATCAGTGACCAAATGACAGCACAAGACATGCATGATGCATTGGATAAGTTTGTTGAGTCTGGTGAAATTAATGAAGAAGATATATCTAAGGTCAGTGTTGTACATTTTGGCTGTCCAAAGCCTTTTTTAACTTGTCCATGTCCAAAATTGTTCAAGTGTCCAAGATTGTCCAAAGCTTGTCTAGGCTTTAATAATTAATAAATTTATCTAAAAAATATA